AAAACTCTGTCCAGTCCTGCACCAACCTCATAATTGTTGCTATGTTTGAGCCCACTGCTGCTGGCACTGTGCCAATCCATCTCATTGGGGTCGTCCTGTTTTTCTCCAACCCTCCATTTTACCAAACATGATATTCATCTCCAGGGACTTGTCTCTTCTTGTAATACATCTGAAGTACGAGAAGTCTGGCTATCCTGGCATCCAAGGAGCATTCTGGCTGTACTTCTTCCAACACAGATTTGTTTGGTCTTTTGGCAGTCCATTGTACTTTTAATATTCTCTTCCAATACCATACTCAAATGCATCAAAATTTCTATGGCTATGCATTATATATTTGTTGTTGTTGTTAAGTGCCGTTGAGTCAGTTCCAACCCATAACTACCCTGTATAGCGTTTCCAAGGAGCAACTGGTGAGATTGAATCACCGACCTTGCAGTTCAGATGACTTTGCAGTCTGATGCATGTCTCTAATTGGTGCAAAATGAGCCCTGGTGGAGAAGTGGTTAAGCATTGGCTGCTAACTGAATGGTTAGTGGTTCAAAACCACCAGCTGTGGCAATCTGCAAATATTTACAGTGTTGGAAACACTATGGACCTGTTCTTCTCTATCCTACAGGGTAGCTATGAGTCAGAATCAACTCATTGTCAGTGGGTTTGGGCTGTTTGGTTTTAGGTGATACAAACAGTTAACAAGCTTGGCTGCTAAACCAAAAGTTAAGTTTACCTGGAAGCACCTCAGAAGAAAGGCCTGGCAACCTACTTCTAATAATCAGCCTTTGAAAACCCTATGAAGCACGGTGTGATACTCTGATACACACAAAGTTAACATGAGTTGGAACCAACTTGATGGCAACTGATTTATATATATATATATATATATATGTGTAGCAACTGTTGTCAAGTGCCGTAGAGTTGCTTCCGACCCATAGCGACCCTGTATAGGGTTTCTGAGGAGCAGCTGTTGAGCTTGAACCACCAACCTTGCAGTTCAAATGGCTTTGCATTCTGGCGCATTAATCTACAGCACCACACCAGGAGTCTGGTGTGATGCTGTGGGTTAATGTACCAAACTATAAAGTCTGTTTGAACCACAGGTAGGTAGTTCAAGCTTACCAGCTGCTCCTCGGAAATCCTATACAGGGTCACTATGGATTGGAATTGACTCAACAGCACTTAACAACAACATACAGGATCACTCGAGTCCTGGTGTGGTGCTTTAGGATAAACACTGGACTGCAAAGTTGGTTTGAACCACAAGAGCAGCAGTTCAAACTCACTAGCTGCCCCTCAGAAACCCTATACAGGGTCGCTATGAGTCAGAATGGACTCGACAGCACTTAATAACGACAACATACACAGTTGCTAAGTCAGAACCCATTCGATGGAATTTAACAACAATGTCTGATTTCAAGTTTTCCTTCCTGTGTTTGCTGGCTGCCTGAATGTCTTCTTTGATAAAGTGTCTGTTCATGTCATCTGTCCATTTAAAAATTGAATTGTCTTTTTGTATGTGTTGAAGTTTTGTATAAATTTTAGCGATTAGCCCCTTGTCTAATATGTCGTTGCCAATTTTTTTTTTCTAGTCTGTAGGTTTTCTTTTCACTCTTTTGGTAAATTCTCTTGATGTTCATAAATGTTTAATTTTTGGGAAGTCTCAGTCGTTTAGTTAATTTTTATTTTTAATTGCATAGTGATTATAAGTTGGGCTACTAACCTCAAGGTCAGCATTTAGAAACTAACAACTGTTCCGCAGAAGAAAGATGAGGCTTTCTGCTCCCATAAATATTTATAGACTCAGAAACCCTATACAGGGTCGCTATGAGTTGGAACCAACTCCATGGTACACAACCAGCCAACCTTATATTAAGGAGCTCTAGTAGCACAATGGTTATGAGTCAAGCTGCTAACCTCAAAGTCAGCAGTTCTAAATTACCAGCTGTTTTGCAGGAGAAAGATGAGGCTTTCTGCTCCTGTAAAGATTTATAGCCTTGGAAACTCTATTCAGGGTTTCAATGAGTTGGAACTGATTCCATGGCATACAACCACCACCACCTTATATTGGTTTGTCCCTATTTTCAATTTGATGATCTTTATAGTTTTAGGTTTTACATTGAGGCCCTTGATCCATCTTGAGTTTGTTTTCATGAATGGTGTGAAATATGGGTACGTTTTCATTTTTCTGCAAATGGATAACCGGTTTTGTTGACACCATTTGTTAAAGAGACTCTCTCCCAATTAATGGGTTCACAGATGGATGGATTTACTTCTGGGTTCTCAATTCTGTTCTATTGGTCTATGTGTCTGCCATTGTGCTGAATACCAGTCTGTTTTGACTACTGTGGCTCTATAGTAGGGTTTGTTTTGTGTGTATCATAATACAGGATGAATTTTTTATTCTTACTTTGATTTTTTAAAAAAGTTTTTATTGTGAATTGAGTGAAAATTTACAGGGCAGATCATCAGTTTTACATTCAACAAATCATACACCTTGTTTCATTACAATGATTATAATCCCCTCCATTATCAATTAGTTAACAATATTTCTCTAGATTCATTTTAGCATTTTTAAAAAACACTCAGGCATATATAATAATCTAAACCACCAAAGGGCACATTCTGCAAGCCTGCCTCCTGGCTGCCAGCTTTCAGTCCCTCTCTTTCCATGAATCTAGAGTCATCAGCTACTCCCTCTCTCCATGTCCTCATTTCTGCCTCCATCTCTAGTGTCGCTGCTTCTCTGGATAGGGTCCCACATTCTGCTTGTGCTTTTCCCCCATGATGGTCCTAGAGTTCTCTGTTTCTGGACTATAAGATTAACCACTCCCCTGTTTTTGCTACAAAATTTCTACCTTTACAATTTTGAAAGTCACAATTATTCATGATAGCAATTACTCACTATTGAATCATAAGAACCTTATCCCCATCTCTTTTCACCAGACCGATCTAGACAAGATGAAAACTATTCAGTGGGACACTTTCTCACCCGCACACTCTTAAACTAAACTCCCTCTTGAAACCTTGTAAGCCAGTCACTTCAGGCCTTTATCACCCCCTCATTTTAGGTAGCCAAAGTCTAAGTTGCCTGTACCTAACTACCCTGTAAACAGAGGGGATAGCATTGATACTTGATGTGAAGACTCCTTCCCTCTCTGTTGGTATTTTGAGTTACTACCTCCATCAGTATAGGTCAAGTTCATAAAATTGTAGCAATTTATCCTTGTTTTTTTGTTTTTAAATCATCCTCTAGTCAAGTTCTGATTATCAAGCCATTGAGGCTAGGCCAAGTAGGTACTATCTGCAAGTTTGGGTGTTCTTGTGTGTCTCCCCTCACTTTATATCAGCTGGATGTTTCATCTCAGTTCTAGCCCTCCATGGCTCAGGTGTCCCCAGGTCTCACCACACTTTGAACCAACCAGCCCTTCCTCTCCTCTCTCTCATCTCCAGGTCAATGTGAGTCTATGGAAAGTGGTTGAACTCAGCCCACTTCTTCATTGCTGCCTTTCTCCCTCTTCTACTCACCAGAAGACCAAAATGGTTGCCAGCAAGCTTACATTGCCTGTTCATGTGTTCCCTTTGAGTTTCAGTCTTAGAGGGGGGTTTGTCCTGAAGGGACTTGATTGCTTGCCTTGATGGCTTCCTGGTGACCAGCTTGCTTATTTTTGCCGTAGTCAGTCATACTGCCATTTTTGTTTTGGGTGTATAGTAGGTTTTGAGATTAGGAAGTGTAAAGTCACCTACTTTATTCTTTTTCTTTAGTAGTGTTTTGTTTCTCCAGGGTCTCTTTCCTCTCCAGATACACTTGATAGTCTTTTCATCTCTTTAAAGAATGATGTTGGAATGTAAATCGGCATTGCATTATATTTGTAGACTGCTTTGGGTAATATTGACATTTTCACAATGTTAAGTATTCCTATCCATGAACATGGAATGTTCTTCCATTTATATGGGCATCTTTTGATTTCTTGTAGTAATGTTTTATAGTTTTCTTTATATATAAGTCTTTCATATCTCTAGTTAGATTTATTCCTAAGTACTTAACCTTCTGGGTGATTATAAATGATACTATTTTCTGATTTCCTTTTTAGAATTCTCTTTTCAGTAAAGAAGAAGTCAACTTTTTATATGTTGATCTTGTACCCTACACATTTGCTGACTCCTTCGATTAGTTACAGTAGTTTTCTTATTGAGTCGCTGAGATTTTCTATTTAGAGGATTATGCCATCTGAAAATATAAATAGTTTTACTTTTTCTTTGCCAGTTTGGATGCCTCTTCTTTCTGTCTGTCTCTTTCTCTCTCCATCCTTCCCTCCCTCTTCTCGTTCTTTCTTTCTTAACTTCTTACTGTGATTCAAGTGAAGTTCACAGCACAGGCTGCTTTTTCATTCAGCATTCCACACACATTTTGCTTTGTGACATTGATTGCAGTACCAACACTAGAGTGCAGCAACACTACCCCCACATCCCTCCTGTGTTTACCATTTCTATTTGCTCTTTTTCCTATCCATTCCTGCCTTCTGAACTTTATCCCT